CCCCAAAACCCCAAAACCCCAAAACCCCAAAACCCCAAAACCCCTTTAAATAAAATATAATTAAATAATGCAAATAGGTGCATCCAGCTCCACCCAGCCTGGCTGGGGCCAGCCAGGAGGGAATCATGAATCAACTATTGGGGATTCGCAAGGAGAATTCGCTAATTTTGAAGAACTCCAAGCGGAATACAGGGATTTACAGAAGATCGTAAGTACTTTAGGGCATATTTTAGCCACACTTGTGAGATAAAATCATGCAGAGTTATAAGGCAACTGGATCTGGTGGAACATTCAAGATGCTGAGACGTCTGAAAATTCCAAATGTAAGCTTTCAAATTTGAGTTTAGGAGGTCTCCTTGAAGCCTACTGGGTTCCCAAACTTGCAGAATAGCATATTTGATGTCCCAGAGAGTGGTTCAGGCCAGATTAGCCTAGCAGAGCTTGTGTGTAGCAAGATTAGAGAGTTTCATACTCTGGAACATCCGAGCTTGAGCACGATCAATAAGGTCTGGAATTTCCAAACTGAGATTGTTACTGAAGAAGAATACTATAGTGGAATGAGCCTTTCTTATTTCCTGGAGCATAAATAAAGGCCAGATTAGTGAAGTCCTTGTCAGGGATATCATTAAAAAGGTAGCCAAAGCGATCAACTTTTGTCATATCTACAAAGGTATTTCGTATCTGTTTAAGCCTTCTAGCAAAGTATGTAGGAAGTATTAGTCCAAGGTCTTAATAATGCTGATCCAGAACTCAGAAGACTTTGAAATAAAAGTGTGCAATCTAGGTTTTGCAGAGTATTACCTAGGCCTTTACCAGGAGAATCTGTTGCCTCTGAACAACTTGGTTTACCTCCCTCCAGAGGTACTGCAAGGAAGCCATGAAGAGATGGATTTTGGCACCGATGTATACCAATTAGGGCTGCTAGCTTACATTCTTATGTGCAATAGGATGCCTTTTAGGATTAAAAATATTCGAGAATTTGCTAAAACTATTGGTAAAACACTCAAATTTCCTCCAAAAGTATGAATTAGTAGTGAGTGCAAAGATTTAATCGAGAAAATGCTGTGCAGCAGTCTTCTTCATAGAATTCAGATGTCAGAGATTATTCATCACAGATGGCTCTGGGCATCTGAACATGAACTCAAGCAGTCTCAGAACAGGGCTATGTTTCACAAATTTGTCAAGAATAAGGAGTAATTTTTGCATAACTTTAGGTTTGAGGAAGAGCTGAAGAGACAAACACTAGATCAGTCTCCATTATGTTTCAAAAAGATTAGTATAATGGACATAAAATAACCTTGTATTTTATCATTCTTTGACCTCTTAGATTGTAAAGAAAAATAGAGATTATGACCTTTTACTTAAGAAGAACAGATTTAAAGAAAGATTTTGTAGAAATAACTTTTACATCCAACACAAGCAGAGAGGGTCTCTTACAAATAGGAGGAGGAAGCACGTAAGATCCTTGCTGATCTATTTTAGGCATCTAAATCAGTAGTCTCTCTACATGCTAGTCAAGGGGATGTACTCGATCTTTCTTCGCAGACGTATGACAACAGGGGTAAGAATTATTCAATACAAGAATACTCTTTTGCAAATGTTAATCCTACTGGAGCTGGAGTTGAAGCACAGATTGGCACTAAGCTGTTTCGACACAAGATAGTTGCCAGTCAGATTGAAAATTTTCTGTCTGATAAACGAATTAAAGCCCAATCTGTTAGGAATAGCATCGAGGCTAAGCAGCAAAAATGAGTTTCCCAGAGAGGAAATAACCAGTATGATGATCATAGTGACTACCCTTCCTACTTTAGGACCAAAAGAGGTTCTCCTCAAAAGGGAGGGAAAAGCTATCTTGGTGATAGCTACCAAGAGACTACCTCATCTGCTACGAAGCTACCTCCTTCGATTAGTTTCAAGAATAAGGTTAAGATCAAGCCTCATAGCAGAAGTGTAAATACTAAGGCTGTAAGTGTAGCTACATCTCCAGTCGCTTCTCCTAAAAAGCAGACTGTTCTTTCCAAGCATAGCCCTGAAAGGGACCAAAATAGAAGAGGGAATAAGAGGAAGCAGTTGTCGATGGCTAAACCTAAAGTTGCTCTCCCTCAGATTAGCAGAATCAGGACTATTAAACAGATGGGGAATTCAGGTTTTCACAAACAGTTTAACTCGGACTTAATATAATTCAATGTCTGCTTTAAGAAATGGGGTTTTGGGGTTTTGGGGTTTTGGGGTTTTGGGG